TTCAGTGCACAGGCTGGATGGTGCTCACTGAATGAGATGACTATTCAATATTTCTTTTCATCCTCATCTTTCTATGTGCAGCCCATTGCCTTATTGGCCGCATTACTCACAAATGCCAAAGGCAGGAGGAAGGAACTATGCAGGCCATCCCAAACAAGTGCCACTAAATATGAAGCTGCACAGTGTTTTCAGTTATTAGAAGCAATCCCAGGGAGATGGGTAAGTGGGCAAATGGCAGGGGATGCTGTCAAAAGCACATGTTTATTCAATGGCTCTGCAGTTTAGCACATGGACATCAAAACCAGTATATATTTTCTATATATACACAAGAAAACTAAGTTAAAATACCGTTAGGGCTACAAAGTGAAGCATCCCAAAAGTCAGGAAATTCCAAAGTTAAGGCTGCCTGTACAACCTTAACTTTGCCCACTGTGTGTATACATTATGACTGGCCTTTAACTGCATAATCATACTGTATTTTTTCTAGAGCAACCCTGCCTCATTCGGAGTGAAAGTTGAACAATGATTGAGGCAGCTGTTTAATACTCATTTTTGCCCACAGTGTTCAATGTGAGCTCTGTTTCATTCACTACACATTCTGCAGTGGTCTGGAGCACCCCGACTCATGCAGTAAAAAAAGCTTCTCATTCAGCATCTAGTCTGCTCACTGAAGGAGAAATTCATCCCTGCACAGAGGAGCAGCACAAGGCCTATGCACCATTTATGCCCTACCTTGTGCTGGCCCATTGAACAGCAATGAATTCACCCTGAATGAGGCAGGAGCCCTGTGGAAAATACAGTATTTCATCATGTAAGTGATGCCTATAGAGGGAGATACAGTCCTCATGAGTGATTATCTCTAATGGAAGGGGCAGGTGTCACAGTCCAGAACACTACATGCACCTACTTGACTCTACACAAGAAATCAAATAAAACTGAGAAACTGAAATATCAAAATACAGTATAGATTTACCAGAGATGCATGAAGGCAAATCCATGTGCCCATTAACACACTTCCTGACTGAAGGGGTTGTGAGGGTATATCCTTCACTGCACATAAATTCCAGTGTGTGGTCACTCTGAATCAACTGTGCATGTCTTCGGCCATTGGACAGAAGCAGATTTTTGATCTCCAGTTGCTGTTTTGTGAGGCTACATGGTGCTAAAGAAAAACCAGAAAAAAATGAAAATGATAGGAATGTATCCTTGTCCAAATCTAGTAGCCCAAAATCCCATATAAAATTAATTATTCACCCAATAAGACAGAAATCATAATCTTAATTTATTACAAATGCCAAGGAAATAAGCCTTAAAACAGAATAATCCCTAAAGAGGATAAACTGATGATGTATGTTTATTGGCCAAAGTCTATTCTTTCTGCAAATGGCAAGCAAGGGCCTGCTCCTGCAAACTGGACGCATGCACGAGATCCCACTGAGACCAATGAGACTACTTACATTCGAAGCACTTTTGTGAATAAGAATTGCAGAAGTGCATCTAGGGCCTGCTCTTGTTGCTGGTGAAGTCACTGGGAACAAGATTGGTATAGACTTTGTAAGCAAGCCCATTTGTTCCTCCATACTGTAGCTGATATTTCTTGATGGAAAGGCCTCAGCCCTCCCCTTCCTACACTACTAAAAGGTACATCAATCATTTGAAATGAAAAGAGGCACTAAAAAGTTGTCAAATAGAAACAGAAGTTCTAAAATCCTACATCATGAACACAATTTACATGCAGACTTAGACATGAAAAGGACAGGGTAAAAGGAACAGTAATAAATCAATAAAATTAATTCCTGCTATACTTACCTGCCAGGACTGAAGTTTAGGGTTCAGTAATTTCCCCTCACAGATGATAACATCACAAACACCTAATATAGGTGTTTTAGGTGTTAATAGTGTCAAGAGATGGCAACAGTTATAGGAGAAGACACACACATGACTGAATTCAGGTCTTTGCAACTAAACAAGCATTTCATCTCATCAACTAAATTCAAAGGGTTGTCAAAATAGCAGTAGGTTGAGCTCCAAAATCCCCAGTGCTGCATTAAGAATAAATGATTTCTCATTAGAATGACTCTCTTACATTTTCAAACCTCACTTCAGTACGAGTGAACACAGACATCGGCTCGTGCCAGAGTATGTGTGTTAAATCAAATCACTCACCTGCACACAGTTTCTACATAGTCAGGAGACAATCAAAGCCATATTAGGCCGTGTACAGCATTTGGGTGGTCAAACGCACGTGACACAATAGCTTACATGGGTCTCTAAGCACCATGGGCAGATTTATGCAATAACCCATATACATATCCGTCCAGTTTGTATATAACTTTGTCTAAGTCAAGTAGCTAGGACTGCAATTATCCGAGGTCCTAACAAGCAGTATAATCTTACGGTATCCCCTAAAAAGATGAGAAGCCCCTGTACAATACCAAGTAGTTCTAGGATACTTTGCTTTTAATAAGACTCCCTCTTATATAGTGTAAGTAAAAACAGGGCCGGCTCTGGCTTTTTTGCCGCCCAAAGCAAAAAACGCCCGGCCGGCCAGAGCAGCAAAGGGGCGGGGAGGGGAGGAGGAAAACAAACCTGCCCCCGGCCGGAGTGGCGAAGGGGGAGGGGAGGGAACAAACCGGCCCCCGGCCGGAGCGGCGGGCGGGGGGACGACCAACTGGCCCGCCTGCCGGAGCGGCGAAGGAAAGAAAAAATAAAAACAAACAAAAAATGCCTGCGAGGCGGTGGGAGTGTGGGTGCAGGGGGACTCCCGGCCCTGCAGACCCTGGGCAGCGGAGTGCGCACCCCGGCTAGCGGGGGTGGGGGGGAGAGAGAAGGGGGGCGGCCAGGGCTTCCTTAAGCGGGGCGCTTGCCACGCGGCCCCTCCCGCTGCGCTGCCTGCGGGGAGGGCTCCGCGCCGCGCCGTTTGGCAGGCAGGGAAGGACGCGGGCTGCCCTACCGGGCTTGCTGCAGGGCGCTCCCCTCCTCCGCCCCCTACAGGGCGGTGGGAGCAGTAAACCAAAAAGAAAAAACCTGCAGGGGCGGCCAAAGCGGTGAAGCGCAAAACAAAACAAAACAAAACAAAACAAAACAAAACAAAAAAGGATTAGATGGAATGCTGCCCTTTGAAATCTGCCGCCCCAAGCACGAGCTTGCTCGGCTGGTGCCTGGAGCCGGCCCTGAGTAAAAATATCACATACGTTCAGTGTCCTGAACGTTACCCTGCTAGTTTAGTAGTGTATCAGCTAATTTGTTTAGTAAACTACATTAAAAGAAAATCAACCCACAGCCTGTCTCTAATAACAAAAACTAATATAGAATTAATGGACTTTCTTATAGAATTTTGGAATTTTAATCGCTTCCATGCCTATTACAATATTTGGTTGGACCTTTGCAGGTATGTTGAATATCTCACTTCTTTACACACCATAGCTATAGTATGTATATAGTACTCATCCCCAGGTTTATCTAGGCATATCCAGTTAGCACATCCCCCTCACTCAATGGCTTTTTCCCTGCTTTCAGGGGAGGACTTTTAGCGGTGAAGCAGGCCATGATAAATGGAGATATGCAGCCCTCTGGACCCTTCTCCAAGGTACAGCCTTGGGGGCCCATCAACTCCTATGAGACCACTGAAATGAGGATCTTGATAAATATTATTTGCCAATTTCTCCTAATGCTGCAGCTCTCTTCTCTTTCTTATGATAATACAATGGTGTTTCATCTCCATATTCTTTGTTATGGATATTTTTACACCATGCCTCCAGTATTCAGGTCCTGTGTCATTGCTCGCATTTAGGGTTATTAACAACAAAAATTGTGGAATTTGATAAAATGGAGAAAATTCTCTCTCTTCTGTAATATAAATAAATAGATGTAATATAAATTGTAATATAAATTTAGACGTTCTGTTGTCTTATTATAAAAGAGACCCACCTAATTCAAATTTCATATTTGAAACTATTTGGTGATCTGCAAAGATCTCATTAATAGAAACTCCTAGGGACCAGATATGGCTTGAGCCATAAACCAGATAGTTGGATCCAAGGATCAAGTGTGGTCCATCGGAAACATGAATCTGCTCTGAATTCTGACACCACTTCCCCCGCCCCCATAGTTGAGGAGCGTTTGAATTCATGGGTTTGATTTGGGTCCATCTCTACTAAAGAACCAACCTGTGGGAAAGAGCAAAGAAGCAGTTCCCCTTACCCAAACACTGTGGTGCAGGTGTCCAGGTTTTCCCACTGCACGTGATCCATTCAGGTCCTATCGGGGTGTATCCAGGATTGCACTTGTACTGCACTTTGTCACCTTCTCTATACTCCGATTTGTCATCACTAACAATCCCCCCAAAATCTATGGCAGGCGGCTCTTCACATGCTGGAGCTGCAATAGATGCACAAACATTATTGTTGTTGTTTGATGTAGGGAAATGTTCTAAGATCATTTGGCTTACTAATGAACACCTTACTGGTGGCTTTTCACAATTCATTCATTTTAATCATTTATAATTCATCTATCAACATGGTGCCTGGGAACATTACTGCACAACTCTCAGTCACTGCAATAACCTGACAGTAAAGGGAGAAAAGACGAGGAGAGAGATGCTTTACATTAGACTAAGGTTTGGCTGCACTGATGAGCCTTGCACCATGCACTGAAGATCAGCAACACAGAACTGACTCATCATAACAGGGAGCAAGCACCACAGTTGTGTACCCTCCACATGCAAGAATATCCTGCCTCCAGTCCCCAAGAGTGCACTTCAAGGGACTGTCTGCAGCTGTGCCTTGGCTGATCTGAACTGTCACAATGTGTCACACCATGTACAGTTTTATAGACTAAAACCAACATGTGGAACTGCTCACTATACAGCAAAA